TCCTGACTTTGACTCCCCGGTCTTCTCTCTCTCCTTCCTCCTCTCGCTGCCGCTGCGGTTGGAACCGCTGCTCCGGCTCCCTGCGAAGCGCACGAGGAGAGGTTAAGCGGCAGCCACGGCACGTCGGGAATAATGAAGTCCTCTAGCCAAGAGAGGACTACAGCAGCTCCGGCACAGCCATCCACCAGCACAGTGCTCTCAGTCCCCTTTTAACTCTGAGTCCCACAACCCTTCTGAGATGGCTTTTCCCGTGGCTCCCCACACACAGGGCCTTGCCGAAGCAACCTGTTCCTGCTGCCTCCCTGTACTGAACAGGACATCTGCCCACCAGCAGGCGTTTTAGTCCTTTTCACTCACCTTCACTGTGCTGGCTGCCTGCACTGCCCCCTCCATAGCTGTAGCCTGGGTCAGGGAAGCCGGGATGGGGGTTGTATGGATGGGGTGGTGGATACTGATACGGGAAAGCCATAGGCCAGGGTGCAGCTCCTGGGTGGGGGAGCGGAGCCAAAGTGTCCTGATCGGAGGCACCGCTGGAGCCATCGTGATCATGAAGAGACAGATTAGCCATGTCTGCAAGAAAGCAGAAAAGAGGAGTTAATCCAAGCAGGAAAACAGCAGAAAGATGTGTGATGAAGCAGCTCCTTGTCCACTCTTGCTGACCAACCAGGAGGAGACACCAGAAGCTGGCACTCTCCATGGTAGTCAATGCCACCATTTGTGCTTCCGGGCTGGACAACAGCCAGGCTGTGTGAGTCCAATCTGCCACTCTAATGCAGAAACCAGCTTGGTGGGAAAGAACTACAAGTTCATCCTGCCAATTCCTTCCTCCATCCCTCTTGTTTGAGCAGAGCCCAGTTGCCTGAGCACCAACCCCTTGCCAGCACTAGAAGTTCAGAGCCTGGAGACAGTCAGTAAAGACTAAGACTCTGCTTTGGCTGCCGAGGAGAAAAGATCACATAGTAGGTGACACTGTCAATGTTGCTTCCATATTTACTACTCCAGCAGCATGACAAAGGGGCTGGGATATTCTTCATCCCTTTCTAACAGGGTCTGTAGAACAAGGGGCCCAGCCTGATGGCAGTGCCTGTAGCTGTGTCCCTATGGTGTCAACAGGTTTCTGCAGGACCTCTAGCCCTCCATCCTCCCCCTCCCACCGACGCCAAGGGCCATACTTCCACAGAGGTCCCCGAAGATGTAATAGCACTGCTCCGAGAAGGTGATCTTGTTCACGGTGTGTCGGATGTAGCCAGCCTTCAGCAGATTGCTGGCATATTTGCGGGATTCACGGCGGTCTGTGAAGCCCTCCACATGGTGATAGAGCCAATCCACCACATCTGAACCTGTCACCAAAGACAGAAGTGAATATGGCAAGAAAGAGGAAGGCAGTGGCCCTTGAGGTAGTAAGCCACACTGGAGCCAACACAAAGTGGGCCAAAAGGTTCAATTTGTGACTCTCGTCTATTCAACAGGTCATTTATAGTGACAAAGGCACTCCCTTGAACATCTGCTTGGTAAACAGGCCACCCATTCCCCAGTCCCCGCCTCTGCTGCAGGCAGCACAGTCTCTTACCAATGAAGGCATTGGGGATGGTGATCTTCAGCCACATGCGGTCACGGACCTCAAGGCCTGACTCTGGTGAGGCCATGGCTTTGACAATGGTGGCCATGTCACTGTGGATGGACAGGTGAAAGTCATCGAGGCCTGTGGTGTGGATGAAGGGAGGCAGAGGTGAGAGAGGAGAGAAAAGACAACGGGGCCACATGGAAGCATCACACACAGGAGAAATGGGCCAGGGAACAATACATTGCAGACAGCCTTGGGGCACATGCTGCATAACCCCCCTTCCAGCCTTCCCATGTTATCCTCCACATGTCAGCCATTTCCTCTCGGGCAAAACCCAGGCAAGAGTCACAAACGTACAACAAACTCTTGGCTTTTTGCCCCAACTGAACTCTCCAGCCCCTTGCTTCAGGGCTCTATATACCAGAATCATCCAAAACCTTCAGAAAGCAACCAAAAGAGCCCTGTGCTCAGCAGAACCCTATCCCACTGCAAGGCTCCTTGCTTCCAGCTGCCTCCTTCATCCCACTCAATCTGCTGACTGGGAGGCAACTGCTCCAGGGACAGGTTGAATTCCCTTGGCCCCACACTCTCAGCCACCAACCCTTGACTGGTGTGAGCCTTTCCTCTGCACCTGCCACTGGTCCTGATTGCACCCAGGTTCTTCTACTCTCCTCATGCTGAAAAACGTGGTATTAATTCCCCCAGGCAGAGCTCCCATTGATCCAAGTGCCAGCCTGGTGAGAGCTGTCTCCCTCCCAGTTCCTTGGCAGGGCAGATCTCTCCCACCCCAGCTGTCCCCAGGCAGATGTATTGCTCCCTTCACAGCACAGTGAAGGTGAGGAGGCTGTGCAGTGGGTGGAGCACGGAGGCACGAGGACTTACGTTCGGTCTCTGGGATGGAGCTGGTGATGGAGGAGCTGGTGGAAGTGATTGTGCTCATGGATGGACTCATACCGTACGCTGGGTAGGTGCCAGTCATCGCTGCTGTGTGAGACACCCAGGCTGCCGGGTCGATGGGCCGGATGGGCTCACCTGCAGTGAAGAAAGGGTCAGTCAGTAGCTGTAAGAAATTATCACCTCAACAAAACAACCCCTGGGGAGGGACAGGGACTCAGCACAGCCCATTCTATCCCCAGCATCTGCCGGGACTCACCCGGATCGGAGCATGGAGAGTCTGGCCCAGCCCAGATCCGCTGGGGAGCAACTGGGAGAGAAAGAAGAGAGGGAGGGTCAGCAGGAGAGGTGCAGAGGGAGAGATCCCCCTATAGCTCAAGGGGGGTTTCTCTTTCCTCTGGCGCCCCGAGCAAGTGACCCCCCTACCCCAGTGAAACGCGTCCCCAGCGTGATGTGGGAAGGAGGGCTGGGCTTGTGGGCATTTTGGTCTGGGAATAGGACATAGCAGCCTCCTAAATGGAGAGCTGAAACCCCATCAAACCCCAATTCAGTGCCACATGGAGTCACACACACAGTGGAGGAACAAGACAACAACGAAGTAAGTGCTTAAGGCAGGGCTCTCACATGAGCTGGGCACCAGCGTTAAGGGTGGGTCAGCTATCCACTTACTCCTGGGTAACGAGAAGCAGCCCCGGGGGCTTGGGTCCCAGCACTTGGCCACCGTCAGGGTGATGGGCCTGCAACAAGAAGGTGAGAGTTAGAACCAGAGTCCAGTGGCACAAACCCCTGTGTGCTAGGCATATCCTGTGTGCTGTCTCTCTCCGGGGAGACAGTAGCTGCTAGTCAAGTGCCCTTGTCCCCTTCCTCCAGCTATGGGTTTCCTTAGTGGCTTCAACAAAATTATGTGACCCTGCTGAGGGTCGCTGATGACCCAAATAGAATCAGAGAATCACAGAACAGATTGTGTTGGAAAGGACCTTTAAAGGCCATCTAGTACAATCCCCCTGCAATGAGCAGGGGCATGGCATCCCCACAAAAAAAAATGGGGCACAGACCCCAATTCCCTGACATTCCATTGGCTGTAATTCTTGCTTTGGGCATGAAAATCCAGGAATCACAGCAACACCAAAACCCTACGTTCAGAACTTCTGCAGAGCCACTGGGAGAGGTGGCTAGAAGACATGACTCACACACCCCAAGCACACACCATACAGCTACCCCGGGAGGTAAGGAACAACCCGAATACTTACCCCGGCTTGTGCACAATCTCCCTCAGCACCCGCACAGCATCATCATTGCTCATGTTCTCAAAGTTGATGTCATTTACCTGCAAGTAATGCAAAGAGGTGAGTCCCAGAGATGTGACCAGAGGCTGAGCTCCCCACTCAACTCAGCAGTGACTCAGCTTCCCTCTTGCAAGCACAGCTTCCTGGATTTAGCCTGCCAAAGTTCGCAGGGAGGCTTCTGGGTCTTTTCTTACTGCTTTCCCAGGCCCAAAGACAGAGATATGTGGGCGTGAAGTACCTGCAAGAGCATGTCTCCTGGCTCAATCCTGCCATCAGCTGCCACAGCACCGCCCTTCATGATAGAGCCAATGTAAATGCCTCCATCCCCACGCTCATTGCTCTGTCCCACAATAGAAATGCCCAGAAAATTGTATTTCTCTGCAGGGATGGAAGAGAAAGAAGTGAGACACCACAAAGCATCAGGTACAAGCAGCCCTAATCTCAGACAAATCACATACTAACAATAGTGGCTTGCACTCCTGTCCCAGAGAGATGCTCTGGGACACATAGAAACTCTTGAGAGACCAGTGCTTCAAGACAAGCCACCTTCCTACAGAATCCATCTCCCTGCTCCTCCCCCACGTGTCCTCTTGCCCCTTCTCCAGTTCCCTCTCTGCCCCCCCAGTCTCACTCTGGAAGGACTGCAGGCTCCACCCACACCTCCCACTCACCCATATTCAGTGTGACAGTGATGATGTTCAGGGACATGGTGGAGTCTGTGATGCTGCTGAAGGACGATGACTGCAACGAAAGTGAAACATGAGATGTCCTCCTGTGCCTCAGTAACATTCCCAGCCCCAGCTTCCTCCACTTGTCCTTTCCTCCCAGCGGCACCACAACCACCACCCACAACTCCAATCTTATGCTGGGAGCTTTGCAGAGCCAGAGAACATCAGCCATGGTCCTTATGACCTATCCATAGCCAAGATAAGGCCTGTGGTCCCAGCTGTTGAGGCTACATTGGCCTGGGAAAAATTTACAGCACTTTATAAAGTCTCAGAACTTGGACACCACCTGCTCCAAGCTGTGCTCGCAGCAAAGACAGCTGAATCCCAGAGAGGGATCTACCAGGCAGCCCACCTTGCCCTGTAATGCCCTCCCCAGGATACCCAGCTCCTCCCTGGGTACCCGCTCAATGCGTGGAGCCTTCTGTTTCCGCCGGCGTCGCTTGTGCCTCCTCATCAGACGGGAAGCACTGCTTTGCTCTGTTGAACTGCTAAACCTGGAGGCAAAAGCAAGAGTCAGCTCTCCTGCTGCAGGGTGGTGGCTCTGGCAGCAAGACAGCCACAGAAACAGCACAGGGAATAGAGGACTGCAGGGGGAGAGGGGAGATGCACATGGGGGACAGACAATGGCAGAGGGGGCCGCTGGGTGAGGCAGCAGCAGGTCTGAGCCCAGAATTACTGTGCCCTGCAAAGGCATCTCTCTGTGCTGGGAGGTAGGGGGAGACTAGTGTTTCTCCAGGATCTAAGCTCTCCTACCTGCTGGTGGAGTCATCTTCATCTGAATCGAAGAAGCTGGTGGTCTCCAGCTCACTGCTCATGAGTGTGGAGGAGCTCTCGTACCCGCCTAGGTCTCGGCGCCGCTCTCCCTTCACTGTCCCATTCACCCTGGGTGCTACGAGAAGACAAGAATCAGTGTGCTTGAGACAATTCACAGGGAAACAACCCCTTCACCTATGCAGGGCTCAAGGCAATCTTCTCCGAACATATCTATCCATCAGACAATCCCATCTACTGCCAACCAGCTCACAGTCCACCCTGGGATCAGATCCATCTTCTGTGGGATACCTGTTCTATCACTACAGGATGGGGAAGAGGCTGATGGGCCACTAGAAACTATGCTGCTGAACTTGTGGAGGACTTACAGCTGGTTCCTTGGTAGAGCAAGGAGCAGCACAGAGTGACACACACTACTTTTCAACTAAGGACTGAGGCACTACTGTCTCCTGCTTTGAGGCTTCCACAGAAGATATCTCCTTTGACCTCAAAGAGTTCAACACCAAGCTCTGATGCAACACAGGTGTTAGCTCCCGTGCTGTGGCCCTCTTAAGCCGGTAAGGTTCTGCAGAGCACATGAAGCTACCTCAAGTCTGAAGCTGGTGTCCCCACCATGCCCCAGCCATGCCCTGCAGAGCTCTAGCCACATCACCAACACTCACCATGCTCCGGCCCATCTGTCCGGCGAGGTCGCTCCCTTTGCGACGACACAACTGAGTCTGTCTCTGTCTCATTGTCCAAGTTTTCCCGACTCCCCCCAGTGTTAGGGCTGTGATGAGATAAAATGAACAAATATGTCCAACAGGGAACAACTTGAGCAGGCTCTCTACCTCTGCACTGGCTAGCATGAGCCTCCAGCCTTCAGCTGTCTCTTTCTTGAGGGACAGGAACAACCACAGTACATCTATGAGTGCAGGGCAAGGGACTGGGGGTGCTGTGCCAGCTCTCTGCCACTTTCTCTGTACTATTTTCAGCATGTCTTTGCTTGTTGAATAATGCAGTTCCACTTTGAATCTGCTCCCAGTCCCATGCTCCTCCTCTCTCGCTGGCTGTGATCCCTGATAATTTGGGAAGGAGTGTCCCAGTCCCTGGGCTGGATGACAGCAAACCCACTGTGTGCCCCTTGAAAACTAGGACAACGTCCAGGTAACTTACTGGAAAGAGGGAGGCCTGGAGTCTCCAATTCCTCCTGTGCGCTCCATGGAGGGTGGCAGCTCTGTCTGGTTATCAGCACAGACTGAGCCAGCGTCTGAATGGGAACCCTCTGCAGACACCAGCTGGAGGGATGAGAGACAGAGAAGTAAACGGCTGTGGCACTGGGAAAACATTTACGAGAGTGGCCAAAGGAGCTGGCCAAAAGCCTGTCTGGCCCAGGATCTCATCTCTGATGGTGGACAACAGCAGATGCCCAGTAGTGGGTATGGAACAGGCCAAGTATGTAGCAACATTCCCCTTTGACACCTTCCCAGGCACTGGCTATTTGTGGCTCAGGAATTCTTGATCCAGCAGTGGCTGACAGCCCTGCTTGGACACTCTGGTATCACCTGCACTCCCACACCACACACTCAGGTAACCTTTAGCACATGTCCTGTAGCAGGGAGTTGATTCCCCCAGTTCTCACATCGGAA